TCCACATGTGCAGTTGTCAGCAAAGTTGCTCTGGCTTTCCCCATGTGCGATGTGAGGCGAGCTGCCGAAGAGGACAGCGCTATGAGTGGTGACCTACTGCCGCCGGTTGTTGATGCTGTCTGCGTTGCACTGCGTTCTTGCTCGTCATGCATTCAACTCCATTAATGTGTGTTGCCTGGATTTTACCGAAAACTGGGATACCTTGTCATGAGCCGCTGCTTAGGGAGCCCCTATGTTTGGGGGCATGCCTACTTATTGGAAGCTATCATCAGTGTAATTTGCCGAGAGAACGACTGGATTTCCTCAGTGCCCCTGTCTCCAAGCATGGCTTCCCCTTCCCCTTAACTCCATCAACAACCACAGGATTCTTATCTTCAGGACCCCGGCATACAATGGAAGCAGGGCGGTACACTTCTAAAAACGTACGTATCTGTATGTATATATATATACATATATACATGTTGCATTGTTGTGATCTGAAATGCGGCCATCCATAAACAGCCAAAAGCAACGCTTTGACAATGCCCGGGGTTTGGGAACCGGATTTAAAGATGCTTCTTCAACCAGAGAGAAGAGATGAAAATGGAGAGGTCGGAGCCAGGAATTCTTCAAATCCCCTTCTTCGGGCTCTCACCTGGAGCAGTGCCAAAAGATCTGGACTAAAACGACAGCTCTGCCAGTGCAAGGGGATGGGTAGGACTCAGGCCCTTGACGTTAGCTGAGAATGACAGCTCGAAATTGGATTCGGAGTGTGGGAATCAATTCGAAACAGCTTCTCAGGCTTCCCCACATCAGCTCCAGCAGGCATCTGTTTCTGAAAGATTTCATATTCAGCCTCTGACTCATGCAGGCAATCAGTCCCACTGTCCCCTGCTATGCCAAGCTACGTCCTTACCTATTTCGACCCTACTTTACAGGAGAGGTTGGACTTCACGTATGCGTTCCGACATGCGAGGCGCTCTCGCCACTGGGCCACAACGAAACAGAGTTCAAAAATTTTGCAGGGGTGTACCTATCCTATGAGGAATCCCAGGAATGCATACGCAATATTAGTCCCAGGGCTCCTTCACAGCCCCAACTCCGATGTAATGGGGGTTTCTGGAAATTGGACGTCCCCCAATATTGGATCATCAGGTTCGTTTTGAGATGTTTTATGATTCATGATGGTTCCTGGTCATACTGAAATTGATCAATCCAATCCCTTAGACAGGCTAGTAGAGAAAAAGCCACGCTGATTTTCGTTGCACAAGAGCGTTTCCAAAGCCAGTCATCTTTCAAAGTGATGGGTATGTACGGTCTTTACAATGCGGGCTTCTTGAGCCGGGCTTCGATTGACCCTAGCTTGCTAGAAGTATTTGGACGTCATGATGCCGAGAGAACGTGTGCATCCATATCTGTCAAGGCCGAGCTTATGAAGGAATACGACGGCCGCCCCATGAAAGGCCGAACGTTTTGGGATCCTGGTTTTAAACACGTCCTGCCTGTTGAGCCAGCTCAAGGTCTGGAACCTCATTGGGCTCAAATTGTGAAATGATTCATGAGCGGCGGCGCGGGCACGCCATGAGAGGGCTTCATGTGGCTAGGGAGATAAGAGCAGGGCATACAGTACTGGCAAGCGTGTACGGTATCTACACATATCTATGTGTTCATAGCTGTGGAGTGGAGTGGCTTTTCGATGACAATGAGCATGCATCCCCTGCGCTGAATGTTCATGCATTGGTGCAAACCATTTTACACAGGGTGGGTTCGCACTGGAGTGCTCTAAGGTCAAGGATGTTGTTTGGGGCAGACCTAGCTTCCAAGTAAAACAACTCCTGTGGTTTTGCAAGATGCTTTGCTCCGTTTCTTATGTATAGTTGTTTGCATCGCACCTAGAGTGTCAAAGAAGGATGCAGGATCCTACGGCGCTTGGTTTGGGTTCTTGAAATACTGATGATTGACAGGAGTCTGGCTTGGCATTGTCGCACCTTGCTTGCAATTTGCTGGCTGCTCACGGCTGTGGATGGAGTACCATCAAAATAGGATTCTGACCATCCTCAGCGTTGCCTCTCCTATCAGGACCATGTCAGATGACTTACACCTATGAGCATGCTAAGGCATTCTTCTTGAGCGTCGTTCCAAGCCTGACGATTGTCGTGAATGCAGCCTTGGCCTTTGATTGCGCTGGCAGAAATTTTAAGCAAGCCGCGTGTGCTATCCACATATGACTGAGATCGTAATCGGCCTGCAGAGCGACATCGAGCAGAATTCCATCGTTTGGGACATCATGGAGTGGCATGGCTCATGAGATAAGCTCCAGCTAGCAAGCTTCTCAGTGCAGATGACCCGGGCTGTATGCGGAGTGCCCTGACTCGCATATGCAACACTCGCCCGGTTCCTTGTCCAGCTCCAGGCTCGTCTTCTGCGCCATCTACACGGTGGAGTTCGTGTCTTGCCTTGGGTTTGAAGATCTTGAATCATGCTGGACTTCTGATTATCGGCGTGGCTGGGTCTTGCTTGAAATCGCACTGTCTACTCGTCCATCTGAGACGCGTGCTCTTGCCGCTTGCAATGCCTTTGATCCGTTGAATATTACAGCTCTCAGCCAAAACCAGCCTGCGCAGCTTTACTCCACAACCCTTGGATGCCTGTGAGCCGGGCTCTGGTGGAGGTGTTCTTGCTGTAGAGCTTTCACTATGCATCAGCTACACCCATGGAAAGCTGTTTGTGGGCTCGCGCCCTCGCGCATCCCCATTACGCTTCCAAGCCCGTGATCCTGGTCACAGTCATCGTGTTTGGGAATGCAGCTTTCAGGGTTTCAAATTGGCTGCAATCGCTCTTAGAAGGCTAATTGTGACATGTTATGGCTGTCCCAAAATCACCATAGTTCGTCTTGTAGTCCCTTGAATGATGGGGCCCTTGAACGCTTGTGACATTTTCCAGAATCCTTGTTTCCGCCCCGAAATTGAAACCTGCAATCCCTGTGACGTCACCTGAACTACCCTCTTTGGCGCCCGTATCTCTCGCTTCCTCCTGATGCTCATTTTGTCAACAACTCGAATCCTTACATTTGCATTTTTACCTAAAAGGGCTACGAAACAGCGCAGAATTGCTTGGAACTGCACTAGAAGTAGTGCCCGCCAGCAATGATGACAACACCAAACATCGCAGTAGAACCGCGCACCATCCTGTACCTTGTCATTCTCATCCCGCTTAGGCTCTCAAGATTTGGATATGGGGCTGTGGAGACTTCTTCTGCGGCCAGGACTGGAACATACCGTGTGGTTGAGGGATATTGCAAAGGATCAGGGGTACCCTTTCATTAGCAACTCCCCTCTTTGGAATATGCCCTTCACCATGTTGAGGACTACAAGTGGAACATCTTTGATGCGACTTGCCTGGTCATTTCGTATGTGGCCTTTCTGCACTGGAGCCAGGCTTTTTTCCGCGTGTTTGAGGAACATCAGTTTGACATTTCGGTGTCGACCTACACGGTTGTAGAGTACAGAAGCCCAATGTCTGCCTGCTGGTTCCTGGGGCAGGAGACCTCGACTGTAACAGCCGTTTTGGGGAAAGGTGTTGGATAAATGCCTTCGGCCCTGTGTTGCTTGCCGACCACCGAGATCGACCTCACTGTCTACTATGTGATCGTAATCCTTCAAGACAACGGTGGCCAAACCAACCTGCCGAGCCCTGAGTGAATGTGGTCCAGCAGGACTTCACACCTTTTTATTAGGAATCCCTTTGTCAACTGTCGATGCAATGGGCAGATCTCTACAAACTGGCCGCCGTAGCGGTAATCCTGGTGCCGCATCTGTTCAAGTCTGCTAATCACGGTTCAAGTTCGCAAAGTTCAAGTTCGCACATTCAGTGGTACGGTCTGAGGTCTTCTCTGATGCTCATCAAGATGTTTCGTCTTGGGCGTCTGGTTCGGCTCATCCGCCTGGTGCGTCATAAGATCTTTCATGAGCTGAAGGCGTCCCGGCAGTGAATGGCCATTCCAGCCCTCATGAAAGGATTACGCTCTTGGCCGGATGGGCCTGAGGGCCCTGAGAGAGACCTGACGACACTCAGGTGATGATCTTCGGCCTTTGGGCTGGCATACGTGTACTAGGCAGGGCAGACCCTTGATTTTGGGTATCTCTACTGGGCACGTGCGCATGTCGGCATCAAGTATCCTTGCACCACATTGCTTCAGATCTGGGTTGGGTCGCAGACTGAATCGACATGCCTCCTGTCAGGATGGGCGATCACGGTGCTGTTCGCCCGTACCCTACCCGTGACAGCTTTGCCTGAATGGTCGCAAGCCCGCCTGTAGACGCACCAGACGCGACTGGAGTGCACAACTGCCTCATGCTACGGAGCACGGTTTGCGTAAGGACATGCAGCCATCGGAAGCCAAGGTCCTTGTCTACACCTTCGGAGTTTTTCTCAGGAATATCATGGGGGCATCTTGGCTGTTGAGGTTCCATGTCGCTTCTTGCCTTGCTTGCTGGAAGTTAACGACCTGCTGTCAAGACCGTGAGTGACAAAGCATGCTTAAGTGAAGTGCTCAGGATGCCTTCGAAGAGCTAGAAACAGTGCCGAGGGCCATGTTCACTTTGTGCCATACTCAGCTGCATCCACGTCCGTGTCCCATTGTCTTCTCAGCTCCCACATTCATTTAGGTTCCGATGCTTCCGGGATGACTGTGCTGCCTATGATGGGACACCGCTGCCGGAGCAAGTTCGTCTCGTGGTCGCAAAGCAGGCAATGCGTTAGCGCAGAATTTGTAGCGCTGCGCTGTAAGCTGTCCCTAGTACTTGTAAGCCTTGCCCTGACGGCCACAGTTGTCATCCCAGGCCAAGTGTATGGTTGAGCACTCAGTTGGCGTGGGGCCAGCACCTCATTTCTCCGTAGTCGTGTTCGTCCTAAGGCGGCGTTTTCCTGGTTAGCATCTTGTCCTGAAACAAGGGCTGAGTGGTCTCCTTTGTAGCGGAGTTTTGCTTTTAGGTTTTAGTGAAGGCGGGTTGTCATCATCCATGGCCACTGGCATGAATTGCGAAAAAGGCTACATCCTGATGATCATGATCGTGTCCGTGGGAGTGTTCAACCTGATCATGGCATCCCGTTGCAAGTCAATGTTTGGGATTTGATCAGAGCATAAGCACCTCTACTTTCTGTCACATATGCTGGATCTGAGGCAATTTTCATCGATAACGTCCAGCTCTCGATCGCTATCGGATTGGCACTGAACCTGGCATTGCTACTTGTGCAGAGGTAACTGGCTCTCAGCAAGCCCGTCGAAATCGTGAGCTGGCGGACACGGCCGAACGGGTAGCCCGGACACTGCTTGAGAGCAAGGGCTTCCTGTGATATGTCCCTGCTGAGTGTTCTGTTGCCAGGTTCGCGTCACGATCAAAGAGCACGTCGCCAGGTGTCGTGCCTGCAACCAGATGCCTTTTGTGACCCTGATTACCTGATGTCTGCATGTGGTCATGCTGTTGGGGCTCTTGGCATCCAAGGTTTTTGGGCAAGGATATCAGGAACAGGCGGACCTTCATCCATGGCTCCTTGGGACTAAATGGTGAGCTGAAGGCCAAAGGCCATTGGCCCGGCAAGCCTGGTCGGCACCTGATTCGTCACTCAGTGCTCAGGTGACATGACCAAAAGAGCTGACCTCTTGGATGAGCAGTTGACAGCTGAAGAGGCCGCCCTGACGGGCGTGAGTAGGGGGCTTCAAAGTTTGGAGACCACTGCAGAGAGTAGATTTACGGACAGAGCTAGTCCCTGGATAGTAATCCTTTTAACAGCATTTCACCTGGTCACACTAGCCTAAAGCAGCAACCTCTTTTGTGAATTTTCCTTTTTTTGTTGGGGAAGCGCAGGTCGTCATTCATCGCGAGTCCTTTCAGCGCTGGCTTCAGGACAGCAAGGGATAGTGGGTGGAGCTGAGGAGCCGTCTTTGGAACTGGGTTTGCTGAAGGAATAGTGAATAGCAATGGATCCTGCAGTAGAGCAGGAATTACCACTCGAAGTGAGTGTAGCTGCACTCTTGTTACTTCAGGACCCGGAGTTCACAGAAGCGCATCTTGGACTGCGGACACGCCTTGTGTTGTCGTGCATGCTGCATGCAAAGCACATTGCTGAGACCAGAGTTTCAATGTAGAAGTGCAATCGACTTGGTCATGGGGCCGTGCCTCTTTCAGCAGTAAGTAAGAAGGACCAGCCTTTCATCTAAGTCTGGAAGACGCTTACATTGACGTCTCGAACAAGGGCCACCTATTTGACATCATGGATGTGACGCGGCTGCACTCGTAGTTATTGCCTAGAACAATTTACCATCAACATGTCTTCAGTAGGTAGCCTCTTAGAGTCCTTGGCGTGTTTCCTCTTCCTGTAGGCGCCCCAACAATTATTGCTGTGCAAGAGCTTCATGTTCCTGAAAAGGCTGACATGGGCGGGCACTTGTCTCTTGATGAGCTAGTGGATGGGCTGATGGCCCTTCGGGGCACGGCCAGGAGCCTAGAGAAGAGAAGAGCAGCCTTAAAGCATTCCAGCTGATGTTTGCAAAAGCCCGCAAACTTCCTGGGCCTTGCAGCACTGGTCAGTCGGACGAAGGAAGGGAGTCAAAATACCTGAAAGGTCAACAAGGGCGATATCATCAGCATGAGCCTTAAGTCCGGAGCCTAGTTGGGAATGTGGCTGTCACGTGTGATTCTGGACATGTTTCACAGCCAGTAGAGACACCGGGGCTCTAATCTCACAACGAACTTGAAATTCTGCGGGTGCTTACAAGAGACTGACATTGTGGTCGTCATATCTGCAAATCATGTTCTCTTACGAACTGAGGGTTCTGCAGAATTTGTGAGGATTCGGCTCCTAACAAGACACGTGGAGCGCGTCCTGACCATCGTCCAGCAAAAGTTGGCACCAGGCTGGGCAGGTCATTTTTGTGTGTCAAGCTTCTTGTTTGGCAGCAGCATTGCTGATGACAGTTGTTAAGCACGTAAGGCGATGGTCTCGGTTTGTTCTGTGCTGCTGATGCCTTTTGTGCAGGTCAGTTTCTGGATGAGTAGGATGGGCCATCCGAAAGGCCAGCAGGGCAGCAGTATGGTCCCCAGTTTCCCCCCCTGGATCCAGTCGGTTGATGCTGGAGCAGGTCTTCGGCATCCTGAAGGGATGCAGGGAAACTGCATAGTCGCGATATGTGGCGATCTTTGCGACAGTGCCCCGGTGGTGGTATCCTCGGGCCTCTTGTAGAGCTGCAAGTTGTTCAGTATCATGTTCTGCTGCGTTCGCAGATGCGGACAGACGGTTGTTGCTGAGTTTGCACATCTGAGGCTGCCATCAATGTGAAAGTCTCGTAGAATCGGTGTAGATCGCGCCACGCAGTTTGGCGTCGTTTTCCATGCGCCCGAAGCTGCTGATAATGCACCAGTGGTGCTTCTCGCCCGTGACTGCTCAGAATTTATACTCGTTGGCTTGACACAAGTGCAATGTGCGGTTCAGGCTCCGAAGGCCCTTTCAGTCCCTCAGGCAGAGAAGCAGCAGGAATGCAGCCTAGCAGCGTGTCAACGCTTGAGTTACTAGCAGGCATGAGCAGTGCGTTGGGATTGCTGCAGGTTGTTCTCTTTTTGCTGAGTTGACTCCACGTCTTTACTAGCAACACCCGAATGGGTCGTTGTCTATGATGGACTATATAGAACGAGGAAGGCCTCGTGCTGCGAGAAAAGCGACAAGCATCTGCAAGCAGGCCCATAGCCTAGAAGATACAGAGACTTGCTTGTTCTCCTGGGACGTTGCGCGTGAGTCCTGCTACTTCCACTGTCATAGGCCACTGTCATATGCCTCTTTGTGTGCCGTCGGCGGACTCTATCCAGCAAATCATGTGAAGCATATGTTGGTTTGGATTGCCTCTCTGCCCAGAATCTGCTATTGACGCAAGGTGCCGCTGACAAGCAGAAGCCGGGGGCTAACATCAGTCGCCCACATGACACGTAGTGGCTAAGTCGGAATGGTTTGGTTTGGCCCCAAGCTGTGGCTTTTGCGTTAAGACTAAGTACTTCTGTGTTGAACATATATCGATTTATGGGGCCAGATTCCTTCGACTAGGTGTTCAGGCTCCTTATGCCGCACTCCCGCTTTTGTACCTTCAAGCTTCTTTAATTGAAGCTGAATTGGTAATGGAGAGGAGGCATCCCTGGTGACGCTTGAGGCTTTTGCCCTGCTGATTCAACATGCTTGAGCTCATGCTTGGGTGATTTTAGGCTCGCTCTCCGTGGCAAGCGCCGTGGTTGCGGCATTGCCAAGTTCGGAGGACTGGGCGCTGGTTGCACACCTGGCTTGTTTTGGAGCAGCGGGGGCATGCCCTACTGGAGGCATCTGCGCGCTGCATCATCTCCCAGGCCATCATGTGCATGGCTGTCTTCTGTAGTTTGAAGTGATGGGCTCCAAATGCACCATCAGTTCTGGGGTAGCTGCATCGCACGTTTGAGCTTCAGAATTAAAGCTGGCATGGAAGGCCATTGCGACCTCTTTCGAGTTCACTGCCTTGAGTGCCGCGCATGCTGCTGCCTCCTGGTCTCATCAGGATGCCCAACATACAAGATGTCATTGTCCTGCCTGGAGTAGACTTCCGCCACTAACTGTAGAAGGTGTTCTCTTACAGGGGCACTCGAGTCCAAGGGCTGTGATAGGCAGCTCATTCGCGCTAAACCTCCTATCCAAGGCTCTGGCAATTGGCTTCGACATGGCTGGAGGGCCCAGAATCTCACGAAAAGACTTACTTTCAAGGCGTCATGGTTTGTTGTAGCATCTCCATCTCTTTGAGCCGCAGTTCATGCTTGGGAGCATGCATTCCCAGGCCACTTACCGCCAAGTGGTGCAGACAATTTCAGAGGCAAACCTTGTTGATCTGTGGTGTCGTGGTTTCGCAGAAATTATCATCCGAGCTTTATTCTACACTCCTTCAAGGGGGCTATATAGGGCATTCTATAGGGATCCTAGTATACGGCTTCTTAAGCGGGATAGAGTTTAGACTATCTCTCATCTGGGCTTCTTTAGCCCTGCCTTGGATCTTTCTGCAGGCGTCCAACAGCCCAGACGCCTTCGGCTCCCAGGTATCTCCTGTTACAAGTTGGGGGCTTGGCGAACCCAAGTACAGATTCGGAGACACAGGCGGAGTGAATAGCCGATGCCATTCGAAAGCCCGGAAACAACTATAGTATATTGGGTTTATATTGGGGTTATATAGGGACAATGGAAAAGAAAATGGAAACTACTATAATGGGTTATCACTTAACATACTCTCTGCCACCGGGGCTCATTGATGAAGCGACGCTTCATCCACGGTCGCATCAATCATAGGGATGCATTCATATCTACTTTCTCTTTCAGGGGCTCTCAGGTTTCATCTTGAGAGTCTGCACAACCCATCTTGCTTCAGCCTGTGGGCTGAGTCACGGAGACTACCCCCAAGAATATCGTAAAAATATACAACAGGAATATACCTACCAGGGTCCTTCTATTCCTATTATATTCCTACTTTATGCTTGGGCCCTCCTGAGGCGCCATGAACGCGACCGAGCTACAGAGAGCTGGCCCGAGCCTAAGACTTGAATCAAGGAGCCGATGGCGCCTTGATGCGGCTTGGTCAAATGCTGTATGCTTCAAAGGCATTAGTCGTGCTACCACTGGCCCTCCTGTTCCTCTGCTCCTGCTCCATCCTGTGATTGACTTTGCTTTTGTTTTGATGTTCTCGAAAACCTAAGTAGAGTTGATTTGCCTGGCCTGGCCAGATTCTCGGCGAAACCTGCCCGTGTTCCATGCACGTCCTTTTCGATAAAAACCTTGCAAATCTGCAATCGGATCGAGATCCACCACTGTAGTACAGGTGCAGCACTGCAAGCCTGGAGCCATGCGAACGTGAAATGGCTTTCTTCGTTCACCGGAACTGTGCAGCATATCACTTCACGGTGCTTTCAAAGCAATGGCTTGGTCAGGCCTGGGGTTCGCGGCTTTCTTGGAGCGCTTCTCCTGGGAGGGTGACCTGCTTTCGCCGTTGGCGGCCGTCAGGTACCCAGTTCTCAAAGGACAATTGTCCGCGTTGGTGCCTTGCATGCAGATGCTGGACGCTCGCAGACTGAAATCGAGCAGATGCCTGCACAAGGCGCTATTCTCCACGCGTATGGGAAATTCAAATCAAAGTCTGGAGCACTTCACGTCCTAGCCTTGGAGCCCAAAGCTTCATCGCCAACCCATGCAGTATGGAGCTTTGCAGGGGTTCTTATGGAAGTTGTAGGTATATTACCCCAGTATCAGGGATTACATAGGGAAATGGAAAGGAAAATGGAAAAAAACAACTATATTATAATAGGGTAAATATTGGGGTTGTAGTACGGGAACAAGGGAATATATTGCATAGGGATTATACAATCCTAGGGCATTCTTCTGGGGAATGCTAGTACAATTCTTCTGATCATTATTGTTATGGTTATTACTACTTTCATTGTTATTCTAATTGCTATTACTAAATATTTCTTCGGGGGACCCAGCCGTTCTGTAAGGGACCTGCTGTCGACTTTGGCGGTTTGCGTCGGGGCCGAGCTCTGGGAGCTGGCTGACTTCTCAGACAGACGCCTCTCGAAAGTTTCATAAAGTCTCAAGTAATAACAGATAATACTATAAATGATACTAATTTAGGGCCTGGCGGCAGGTGCCGGCCTGGCCGCTGCCCCCCTTGCCCACCCAGCTATCACGTTAAAGGCAAGCCCACCCACGAACCTGGGATGTTTTTTTAGGTTTTGAAGACCTTTTCTCTTTAGTTTAACTGAAAGGAGCCCAAAATGGTTTCCCAATTGTGCTGATGATGTTCCTGTATGACGCGCGCGCCTCGCGTACAGGAACATCAGCTGCACAATTTTCACCCCATTTTGGCTTGATTGGGACCAGGAGGGGCCAAAAATCCAAGATCACTTTAGACTTGGTTCTCTGTGCAGGCTGACCATGTTCTACCCCGCAGGTGCATTTTTTTGGCAAATCAGCTGCCAATAGCAGCCACATTTCACGCATTTGAAGAGCTTAGG